CTCTGAATCACAGAGCTAATAGTTGGCAGAGTTAAATCTCTGGTGTCACAAATTTGTGTTTTGTCTACCTCCAAAGGAAACAGCCTAAAACGGCACAGGACATTTTGGCTTTAAGTAAAATGGCTAAATTATAAAGTAGTTTGTTTAGTTTCACTATCTTACCTCTTTAATAGTAGTGTATATTTAGGTACTGACATAGACACGTTGTTATCTAATCTATTCAATATTAAATATTCAGTATTGACAACAAATAGAATGTTTTCAGTCTTGTGAATACAGGGTTTATACTACATAGTGTATATTCATAGCAACAGTCTATAACAAAAGCTATTGATTATAAAGTTTAAGTCAGAAATTAATGCTGTGAACTTACATGCTGTCCTTTAAAGCTATACATCTAAGAAAATTATCTTCAGCTAAAGAAAGATAACATGATAGGAGAAATAATTTTACTTAAAAGGCTATATATTCCATGAAATTATCCTGTTAGTCACAGAGATAAATAGAAAACTAAAACACTAGATGTCGTAGTGAAAGGACTACATATTTCTAGAGCCTATAGATGTTCTTGAGGAAAAAGTAATATTTAAAGCAAATGGAGACAGTTAAAAACCTCTTAATTGTAGGGCACCTGGGTGACTCAGTTGGTTAAGAGTCTGAATTTGGCTCAGGTCATGATCTCACAGTTCATGAGTTTGAGCTCCACATCAGGCTTTGTGCTTGCTGATAGTTCAAAGCCTGGAGCCTGCTTTGGATTCTGTGTCTCCCTCTCTGTCTCTGCTCTTCCCCTGCTCATGCTCTCTCTCTGTCTCTCAACAATAAAAAAAAACAAAAAAACAAAAAAAAAACTTCTTAATTGTATGGAAGCAAAATATAAAATATAAACTTGTGTAAGAGTTGTTTGGCAAGTGTTTTTAAAGTGATAACTAATTTCTGGGTATAAATGAGCTTTTAGTCCTATGATTCTACATGTTCTGCTAACTCCAATGCTAAAGAAACTTAATGTTTTTTAGTTAATGTTTTATTTATTGAGAGAGAGAATGTGAGCAGGGAAGAGGCAGAGAGAAAGGGGACAGAGGATCTGAAGTGGGCTCTGCCTGATGCAGTGCTCAAACTCACAAACCATGAGATCAAGACCTGAGCCGAAGTCGGACACTCAACTGACTGAGCCACCCAGGCGCCCCAAGAAACTTAATATTTTGAATCTATCATTTTGAAATGTGACTAGTCCAGAATTGTACCTACAAATGTATGGCCAACTAATCTTTGACAAAGCAGGAAAGAGTATCCAATGGAAAAAAGACAGTCTTTTTAACAAATGGTGCTGGGAGAACTGGACAGCAACATGCAAAAGAATGAAACTGGACCACCTTCTTACACCATACACAAAAATAAACTCAAAATGCATGAAAGACCTAAATGTGAGACGGGTAACCATCACAATCCTAGAGGAGAAAACAGTCAACAACCTCTTTGACTTCAGCCACAGCAACTTCTTACTCGACACGTCTCCAAAAGCAAGAGAAATAAAAGCAAAAATGAACTATTGGGACCTCATCAAGATGAAAATCTTCTCACGACAAAGGAAACAATCAACAAAACTAAAAGGCAACCGACAGAATGGGAGAACATACTTGCAAATGACAAAATCTATAAAGAATTTACCAAACTCAACAACCACCCCCAAAATAATAATAATAATCCAGTGAAGAAATGGATAGAAGACATGAATAGACAATTTTTCAAAGAAGACATCCAGATGACTAATAAGCATATGAAAAAATGCTCAACATTGCTCATCAGCAGGGAAATACATATCAAAACCACGTTTAGATACCACCTCATACAGGTCAGAGTGGCTAAAATTAACAACTCAGGAAATAATAGATGTTGGTGAGAATATGGAGAAAGGGGAACCTTCTTGCACTTTTGGTGGGAATGCAAACTGGTGCAGCCACTCTAGGAAACAGTGTGGAGTTTCCTCAAAAAAATTAAAAATAGAATTACCCTATGACCCAGCAATAGCACTACTAGGAATTTATCCAAAGGATACAGGAGCTCTGATTCATAGAGGCACATGTACCCCAATGTTTACAGCAGCACTATCAATAAGAGCCAAATTATGGAAAGAGCCCAAATGTCCATCAACTGATGAATGGATAAAGAAGATGTGGTTTATATATACAATGGAATACTACTTGGCAATGAAAAAAAGAATGAAATCTTGCCATTTGCAGCAACATGGATGGAACTGGAGGGTACTATGCTAGGGTGAGATAAGTCTGTCAGAGAAAGACAAATATCATGTTTTCACTCATAATGTGGAATGTGAGAAACTTAACAGAAGACCATGGAGGAAGGGAAGGGAAAAACATAGTTATAAACAGAGAGGGAGGCAAACCATATGAGACTCTTAAATACAGAGAACAAACTGAGGGTTGCTGTTGGGGGAGGTGAAAATGGGTGATGGCCATTGAGGAGGGCACTTGTTGGGATGGGCACTGGGTGTTGTATGTAAGTGATGAATCACGGGATTCTACTCCCAAAGCCAAGAGCACATGTGTACACTATATGTTAGCTAACTTGACAATAAATTATATTTTTTTTAAAAAAGGAAATGTAAGTAGCAACAAAGGAAAACATACTTTAATAATATGTAGGCTCTGTTAAAAATATAAACAAATTTTTTTTTTCAAATTCCCTAAAGGATTCCTAGATACTTCCTAATAATATATTAATGGAAATAATTACTTTACTTGCATCTCACAAAAACATTACATTTTTTAAATAAAATAAAAACTACCCAGCTGAAGTTTACGGAAACAAAATAAAACAAAACTTAGAGATTATGGAGGCAGTTACAATTGCCACATAAAACAATAACTATAAAACCAAGTTTATGCGACTATTATTTATCTTAGGCAAGTATCTTAAATTGAAAGTTGAATTTTTGATTGATTTTTACTACATTTTAATCCTTAATAAATGACAGCAGAAGACTAGTCTTTACAATGGGACATACCAATGTGGCTTATCTTTGGTATGGAAGCAGAAACCCCATGGAAAACCCAATGGGATAAGATATCAGTTTTCTGATTCCACCAGAACACAAATTAAATTTTTAAAAATAGAATTGAAGCTATGCAGATCTAAATTTTAATTACATAGTGAAATACTTTCTAGGGGCATAAGCTGTATAGCATGAAATAGGTTTTAAACAAGAAATTTGAGAAACCCTTTCACTGATGGGTTTTAAAGTAAGCTATAATTTGATCTATGAAGACTCATAGACCATCTGATTTTTCTTTCACCCTGGGAATCTATGAGGAAAAGATATGGTAATTTTTGTCCCAAATTACTAATGTTGTCAAGGTATAGAATTTACTCATTCAGTATCCTGTGTAAAACAGGCAAATTCAGGGAATTTCAAAAAAAAAAAAAAAAAAAAAAAAAAAAGGAAATAGATTTATTGAGATCAGAATTAATCATGAAGAAATACATATATTTTTAAAACCTCAAGTTTTATATAACTAAGAAGTATTATAATAATTGCTTTTAAAATGAAAAAAGAAAGAAGACATCCGGATTCCAACAGGCACATGAAAAGATGCTCAACGTCGCTCCTCATCAGGGAAATACAAATCAAAACCACACTCAGATATCACCTCACGCCAGTCAGAGTGGCCAAAATGAACAAATCAGGAGACTATAGATGCTGGAGAGGATGTGGAGAAACGGGAACCCTCTTGCACTATTGGTGGGAATGCAAATTGGTGCAGCCGCTCTGGAAAACAGTGTGGAGGTTCCTCAGAAAATTAAAAATAGACCTACCCTATGACCCAGCAATAGCACTGCTAGGAATTTA